TCATGGAACGCAATAGCGCAAATAACACAATAATAATAATTATTTATACTGCAGAAACCAGAAGTAAGAAAACACTGTAAAAGAATAGAATTTGTATCAAAATGTATTAAAAATATAAGTACCTAGTATAACAACATACTAAAATGGTAAACACTGGTATATTGCCACGATTTGGTGGACCTCGTTTAGTCATTTTTTTCCCCTCTTTTCCCTCCAAGCAGTTGGTTTGTAAGCATACCCATTCATCGAGCACTCTGTTGGAATTTGTTGTATTTTATTTCCAGATTAACAATCTCGCCCTTAAATTTTATATGAAACTGATTATTGAATATTAAACATATCTGTACATTGATGCATCAATAACTTACCGAATATCAGTGTAAGAAGTTCTTTGAAATGTTTAAATCTTTCTTTCTCTGGTCCATTTAGATTTTTATTATTTCCAAATTAAAAAAAATTATATTGCAGAGCTAACTCAGCTAACATCTTTATCATTATACGAGAATATTTGGAGTTTTCATTCATTGGAGTCAAAATTTGGTAAATTGGGTATCGAGTAAGGAAAGAGTCGCTGCTATAATATTAATAATACTCTTAGGAAGATGTAACAAGGTAATTAAAAACTTGTGCTTACCTTAAAGTCTCTTTTAAACTACACACAAACAGAACATTTATATAGAGCTTCCGAATGATAAAACAATAATGGCTGCTAACACATACCACTCCTAGAAAGGAGAAAGGAGAGAGGACACATAAGATACACTTGGTCGGTGTGTCTACGCTGAGGCTATCCGGGCGTGCGCACACCTTCATTTCATGCTAGAATGTAGACACAACAGTACACTATTACAAAGTGTCTCTATAGATATTTATATTATGTGTACACGTCACATTTTTACAAGGTGTGTATTATAGGCACAACTATGTTACGAAGTATCACACATACATATGACTTATACCACAGAATATCTAGCTACGCAACAGAAGCCTCGTTACATGTATAAAATTGTAGGTAGCAAAAGGAGACAGGCTTTTAAAGCCTGTCTCCAAATCAGATATTTTGATGTGGTAGTTTCGCTACTACATAATAGAGGGCTATAAATTTAAAAGAAAACCGTTTTCTACAAACAAAATTTAAAAGAATTTTGTGCAGTGTTGCCATTGTGTAATTTCATATCGTAATACTTCCTGATAAACCTTCAAATTTGCTACATCATTTAAACATATTAAAATAGATCAGAGCTGATTTTTTCAGTTTGCCATGTTGGAATTAAATCTTATGAGATAAATTACAATCACTTCCTGACGTTTGATTGTATAATTGAATCCTGAATTTTCATTGTAATTCGGCGATAATATAATAAGTATTGTTCTACTATTATGAGACCACTTCCTGACGTTCGATTGTGTTCATACCAAGTTCATATCGTATAATCGGGAAAAAACGGCGTTAGCCATGGCTATGAAATGAATATCGCTGTCATTTTATATGTAAATTTACATGGGAAATGTCATCGATCGTCCTTTTCCAGCCAACTGGACGCCGTTTTTTTCGGTATCATATGGTATTTGACATACTATTTTTCATGACATTACAATATTATGGTACCATGAAGCATATCAAGTGATACCATAATATAGTACCATATTACGATACACGGCGTTCGATTGGGCTTAAACTTGGTATACTATATCTTCAGTGACATTGTAATATCATGGTACCATGGAGCATATAAAGTGGTACCTTCTATAGTACCATATTTGATGACATAGCAATATTAGGTACATAGCGGCAATAGGGCTTAAACTTGGTATACTACGTATTTTCGGTGACATTGTAATATGATGGTACTATGATGCATATCAACTGGTACTATAATATAGTACCATATTATGTACATGGCGTTCGATTGGGCTTAAATTTGGGATACTACGTATCTTCGGTGATATTGTAATATTATGGTACCATGGAGCATAATAAGAGGTACCATAATATAGTACCTAGTAGATATCATTTCCTGGCGTTCGATTGGGCTTAAACTTGGTATACTACGTATCTTCGGTTACATTGTAATATGATTGTACTATGATGTATATAAAGTGGTACCTTAATATAGTACCATATTACGATACCATTTCATGGCGTTCGATTGTTCTTAAATTTGGTATACTACGGATCTTCGATGACATTGCAATATTATGGTACCTTAAAGCATATCGAGTGGTACCATAATATAGTACACTATTATGATATCATTTCCTGGAGTTCGATTGGGCCCAAATTTGGTATACTTGCGTTTCTTTATAAAGATTTGTTTAATTAATAATTTTAATTTATTTTAGGAATTTTAATTTATTGTTCGATGTCGTCATGTCGTGACAGCAACTTTTATGCCGAACTAATATATTATTAATTGTACCTGTGTCACTTTTTAAAATCTACCTAGGTCTATATAAATAACGTGACAAACGGAAGAAATTTGTTATTATAGTAATTTTTAGTCAGTTAACATTTTTTGTACTGCATTTTAATAAATTATTTCCATTATTATTAAACTTATATTTTATTACTAACGTTCCAGCATTAATAAATATCACTATCAATCGCCCTGTATATTATTAATTTTAAAGGTAATTAAAGGTATTTTCTTAGTTAACATTATAAGGTAGTGTATATTAAAAATGTATATGTTTTGTAATAATATACTTAAAACTATTTTAATAGCCAAAAGAATAATTAATATAAGTGTATCTGATAAGAAAAGAAGAATAGAAATAAACACATACTGCATTATACACAATAAAGAATGGGATGCCAATTCAAGTCTTTTGAATCTGGCAACTGTGCATATTTAGCCGAGCTACAAGGCCGTCGACGAGCCGTCGATCCAAAAACGAAAGTTCAAAATTTCTAATTATATTCTGATTATGATATTATCGCGCCATCTAGTATTCTATTTGTGCAATTTTAGCTCTTTCATTTCGAGTATTTTTCTGTTGCGTAGCTAGATATTCTGTGCTTATACATTGTATGTCTCATATACCGACGTCAGATTTCAACATTTTAATAATTATTTGTTACGTTACAAAAAACTCTTTAGAATCTTGAGTGCATACGGTATACAACTAGTAAACACTGTATCACACAATTCTATCAATATAAACCTGCGTGTATCTCATATGTATATGTTAGAACTAGATGAACACTTAGGTTCACTTTAACATATTTTGTTTCTCATGTGTCTCCCTTGTAGAAACGTAATTTCATTTGGACGTGCTGTATGGGGAGATGTTCACCAAGATGCCATCAAAAAAATTTTAAAAATTTCAAGGATTGCGGAGTTTTTTTGGAAAAAACGGATTTTTTTGAAAATCAATTTTATTTTTTCCTATCGTTACTTTTTAGGAAATCATAAAACTAATTGCACCATCTCATTTCCACTTTATTAGGGCTATCTGATTAAATTTTCATATTAGCTGATAGTTTGTGAGATACAGAGGCCAACTTAATTTTTTTAAATACGGACCTGCATTTTTTATTTCATATTTTGAAAGAACTCGGTCTCCTGAGTACAATGATATGCCACACTTAATATATTTTTTGTTTTGGACATTTGAACATAATTAATTTAAACTAATTTCAAGTCCGGCTCTGTTTTTTTAAAGATTTAATCTATTCATCGTTACAATATTGATAAGCTTTCAAACTTTACTATGATGTGGGGTAAAACATCAAATACGGAAAATGAAATGCAATACCTAAAGGCGTCATTTATAAAAGTGAAATCAATACATTTCAACATTTACAATAAATACTACAAAATGCATTCGGAACTATTACAAGAAGTTATGTTCAAAGAGCTATAAATAAGATTGAACAAAAAATTAATTTGTGCAATAGGGAGGGTGGTAACCCTTTCGAAGATGTAGAACATTAGAAACTAGTTTGAAGAAGCTGATTTATTTATAATAACTACGATTAATATTATGAATATTATTAGATCGCAAACGGAGATTTCAAATTCACAATAAAAAAAGTTAAAAATAATATCTTTAAATTGCTGACTTGGATATTATTTATTTGAATCTTTGAATTGGCTCGATTTTCCTTATTCAATGTTAATTAGTGGTGATCAATATTGTTGTGATGAATATAATCAGATTAAATGATGTAAAAAACCAGAATCGTACTTGAAATTATTTAAAATAATAATTAAATAGTTTTGATGTTGTTAAGGTACCCAAAACAAAAAAAGTATTAAGTGTAGCATATCATTGTACTCAGGAGACCGAGTTCTTTCAAAATCTGAAATAAAAAATGCAGGTCCGTATTTAAAAAAGTTAAGTTGACCTCTGTATCTCACAAATTATCAGATAATTTGAAAATCTTAAAGTACTATCAGATAGCCCTAATAAAGTGGCTATGAGAATGTGTAATTATTTTTTTGATTTTCCACAAAGTAACGACAGAAAAAAACAAAATTGATTTTCAAAAAAAAACGTTTTTTTTTCCAAAAAACTCAGCAATCCTTGAAATTTTTAAAACTTTTTTGATGGCATCTTGGTGAACATCTCAAGGCGCAACTTTGCCCCAATTTAACCATCTTCGTATCTATTACGGTTTCCGAGATACCAATGCTTGTACCTCGAATTTGTAGCACCCTGTATACACAATTTACACACAACTATACAACTGACTATTAAAACTATTTTCTGACACCTTCGCCAATTAATCCACAATTTTTCTATTGCGCAGCACTATCCAAAAACTAACTGCCCGGTCGAACGCGAGAAGCGGCTTATATACTGTAGCAGCTGCTTCCAGAACTTCCTGTTTCTATACCATTCTACCCCTTACCAGTTAATTTTGCTGTTTGGCTCGAAATTACAGAACTCGCTTCCCTCCGACTTGGCTCGTTCCCCAACAGATGTCGCCATACACCTGACAATATAAATACTTAGATATTATATGTAAATTGACATTTTTCATTTTTTTCCAGTGAAAAGCTTCTCGTTCGACGGCGCCGACTCCAGCTCCGAATCGGAGATGGGTTGCCCGCCGCGCAGCCGCCAAAACTCGGAGATACCCGCCCTCAACCACCCCACCACCAACCACTTCCTGCCTCTGCGGCACGACCTCATCTCGCTGGTGGAGAAGGGCAAGGTGGGCATGAGCAGCAACAGCTCGTGCTGCAGCTCGACGACCAGCTCCATCGGCGAGAAGCACCAAGTGCTGCCCTCGACCAAGGTCACTGCCGAGGTCAACGAGGCTTTGAAAAGGTAGGAGTGAGAGAAGTCCATTTTCTTGTTTTAAAGTGGTTTTTTGAAGATTTGTATGGGAAGGGGGAAGTTAATCACCACGTTAATCACTGATCATTTCTCTATCGACAACATAATTTACATATACATATGTATCTTTTTTAGAGCTCCTGAATTAAGAGAAACCAAAATAGATAATCAAATGTATGAGAATGTAGATAATGGTAATGACGTCAATAGAAATGGAGACGTAAGTATTATTAAATTAATTTAACACAATATTATTTTAAATATGAATATTCTAATATTATTAAACTGGTCAGAAAAAATTAAGCTTGATGAGAAAAAGAAACTTGTAGTCTAAGATCTGGCGGCATGAATTACGCTCATCGTATTTTTAATCAAAACCTAATTTTTACGTATATTTATGAATAAGAGAATACACTATTGACAGGGTGCCTATCAAAAAGTTGCCGCACACTATGTTTTTAATTATGTTTAATTAATAATAATAATAACTGATTTTGGAGACGACGCGCGACGCGACGCGCGACGTTACGTTCATAAAAATTGTTGATCAGTTATATGTCAAATTAAAGCTATTTTTATTCTGTGCATGATGTTATAAAGGCAGTGGCGGCTCGTGGTTATTATTATAGGGAGGTCAATATCTAAAAATATTGTGTTGATTTTTTTTAAGACGCTACCAAATTTAATTGGTTTCTTACAAGGTACTTGTACTTTTAGTTAAAGGAAAATAAATCTAAAAATAAATACAAATTATGTTAAAATGAAACCTACCCTTACATTTTTAAACAGGTGGTCTAGTGCCATTTCACTAAAAATCCAGTCAATGTTCTTTACACAAATTTTCCACGGTAGTATTTAAAATACACTTAAATAATAATGTCACAAAAATATAAATACATACAGGGTGGCGCACCTCATTCGCCTCGGTTGATTATACGAAAACGGAAAGATGTGGAAACAAAATATTTTATGGGTATATGTGGGGAGTCAATGTGCACAATTTAAAATTATTTTGAAATATACAGGGCGTCTCAGAACTAAGATCCATACCAAAGTTATATTTTTTCTTATGGAACACCCGGTATTTTATTTCATTATTGGATTCTTGGGCCCAAAAAAAGACATTTATTATAAGGGTTTAATATGTTTAAAATCATTGGTTTTGAAGATATTTAACAATATTTAAATATGCATGCTTCAAGAGAATTGATTATCAATACCCTGTACATTACTTTTCAGAATTAATTCTTGTGCTGAGTTTAAAGGCAAAGAAATAAACTTTACTGAAAAACGTTATTGCTTCCTTAAATTTATACAGGGGTACCAAAAATTAGTTATTTATTTTATGGATTTATTTTACATAAAAACTTTGTTATTTCAAATGCAACACCCTGTATTTTTTTAAATAAATCGAAGCAGATTCAAATGCTCTTTCAAAATTTCTTCTATATTAGGGTTTCCTATACCTATCTATCTCAGATTTTGAGTAAAAAGCGATTTTTAAATAAAATGGCAATCAAGATGGCTGGTATCGCCATAGTAATTTTCTAGTGACAGTTAGTAACTATTTTAAAAATCGACATTAGTTTATAGACTTTATTTAAATCTATACCAATTTACTTTTATTTAATTGACCTCCAATAGTTCAATAAATAATATTTATTAATATGTATTTATTATTCTATCAAGAAAAGTAGTTCTTTGTTTTATTTTACGATAACTTGTACATATATGAATTTTTTATAAAAGAGCCATTTAGGGCAAATTCAATTTCTTCACTTCCAACGACAGGTTTCTGCCTAATAGGTTTTTTATAAACTACACTACCAACTCTGCGAAATAGGAAATAGGACAAGTAGTTTTTCAAAGGAAAGCTTATCAGGAAGATTCCTATCTTGAGGCCAAGAAATAATTTTCCTCACAAAAAAAAATCACTAGTAACATATCCATTCGTTCCACAAGCAGATATGGCTTTATTTTTCTTCATAAAATAAAGAATACTTACTTATTGTGGGTAAATTTTAGTAAACTGTTTAAATAATAATGTCCATACACTAATGTCGATTTTGAAGATAGTTACTGTCACTAGAAAATTTCCATGGCGATACCAGCCATCTTGATTGCCATTTTATTTAAAAATCGCTTTTTATCCAAAATCTGAGATAGATAGATATAGGAAACCCTATTATGGTTTGAAAGAGCATTTCATTCTGCTTCGATTTATTTAAAAAAATACAGGGTGTTGCATTTGAAATAACAAAGTTTTTATGTAAAATAAATCCGTAAAATAGGTCACTAATTTTTGGTACCCCTGTATGAATTTAAGAAAACAATAACATTTTTCAGTAAAGTTTATTTCTTTACCTTTAAACTCAGCACAAGAATTAATTCTGAAAAGTAATGTAAAGGGTGTTGATAATCAATTCTCTTGTAGCATGCATATTTAAATATCTTTAAATATCTCAAAAACCAATGATTTTAAGCATATTTAAACCTTATAATAAATGCCTTTTTTTGGGCCCAAGAATCCAAAAATGAAATAAAATACCGGGTGTTCCATAAGAAAAAATATAACTTTGGTATGAATCTTAGTTCTGAGACACCCTGTATATTTCAAAATAATTTTAAATTGTGCACATTGCCTCCCCACATATACCCATAAAATATTTTGTTTCTACATCTTTCCGTTTTCGTATAATCAACCGAGGCGAATAAGGTGCGCCACCTTGTATATACACATACACATTTCTAAAAGTTTTAATTCACATTTTTTTATATTTTAAGTCAATTCTTTCTCTAAACGTTATTCGAAATTTAAGCAATTGTTTTCTTTTAACCGCATGATTTTACAAACTCCATATGTTGTCTATTTGAAAATATATATTCCAGAATCAGTCAACAAGAGTTCATCATTTATCCAGAACCAGAAAATTATTAATAATTGTTACATACACAAATTTCGCGGTGCATCTCAAACCCTCGGCTACGACAAAGCTACGGCAACTAAAACGATTTTTTTTTTGATATTAAAAATTTAAATATTGATTTATATTGACTAAACCAAACATTATACGCGATACGCGATAAACGATAGAAAAACCTAGGTTGTTTTATAATTTCAGTTTTTATAAACACCCAAACTGCCCAAACGGCGAAATATTTCCAGCAATATGACTGAAATCCTGTAATATATTTATATAGAAATAATGCACTCGATATTTCTTAATCAACTATATTGATTCTCAACTAATAAACAATATTACAAATTACAATAATAACACGCTGGTTTTTTTTTCTAGTCCTAGTTTCTAGGCACTTGGAGTTTAATACGTGTAAAACATAGCGGGAACGAAGGACAAAATGAAATTTTGACCGGCAATAGAGACAATGGGTAAAATAAAATGTTTTCAAGCGAAAATTGGATAAATTGGGAATAGTTTTGAATATTTTACGACGAAAAAAAGTGATTTACAAAAAGTATAATTTAAATCAGTTTTTCTAATTTTTTCCTGATTTTTTTGGGGGGGCATTGACCATTTGACCTCATGGTTAAGCCATCATTTTGCCTCTAATGGATGAATACATGGGTAGCGTTATACTTCTTTCATAATCTTTTTATTCAATGGTCCAAAATCAAATTATTTATTTTCACAGTTCATTAAAAAGTCAACACACATCAACAATACAATTTGGTACATCTTTTTAATCGACTTAATAATAATATTTTATCGCAGTGCATAGTTGTAATGAACCCGGAATGCGACGATAGAACCCCGGAAGTACCCTTGCCCGCCACCAGTGTCGCTTGTGACGTCGAATCCGGCCAGAACGCCATAGAACACGACACGGAAGGCGACCGGCTGGTCAGTAGGTGCGGCCACCTCGAGATAGCGCTGCTGTACGACGCGCCAATGAGGAAAATGACAGTGCACGTGCTTCAAGCTAGGAACATTCCTAGCAGGGATCGCGGTCAACCCACACACACTCAGGTAAACCTTAATCAAAATAAATGGCAGTTGTTGACAATGACACGGTCTATTCGGCATAGATAAAGGAAATAAATTTAGATCGGAAAGCCCGTCAAAATATGCAATTATTATGGGTCGCGACCGTTGTACGCGATCTGGCGCTACTATAGCGGTTGCTAATAACAATCAGGGGGGTGACAGTGAAATAGGAAAATTGGAAACAGTCATTAGTGTCATTCCTGTCATTCTCCTCACGACAAATATGACCGCCTAGACAAGGACAGCATTGTTTTTGTCTAACTTCACAGTTTAGAATTGACAGATTTCAGTTTCAGAGACAACTTCAGATTTGTTCTTGAACAAATTAGAAAATATTCGACGCCATTTTAATTCATTCCGTTTAGTTGCGTTTTGGAAGTTCAATTTAATATTTCGGCTGAAATTTATAAATATAAAGGTAATAAAGTATATAAAATATATATTACATGAAGAATCCTGAAGAAAATGACGCATCTGCAGTAGTAGGTATGTCCCATGTATATGAAAAATAGGTAGTAAATAAACACTGTTTTTACATTTTTTAGATGCAAGAAAATGGTGTTATAATCTCTTTGATAGGCGATTTTTTTGAAAATGGAAACAATTTACAGCAAGGTAAGATCATTTTTAACTATAGCCAACATTAGTTATCTCCAGTATGTGCGATTTATTGTCAATAATGCAATAAATCGGACTGATAATCTAATTTTGTTATCCGACTAAAAGTCTCTTTTTGATTTATAAGCCAGGTCTCTCTGGGAATAATGGACGCTTTTTTTAAACAGTATATTTATATTTTATACCTATTGATATTTTTACATTGTTAATTTTAGTATAAAAAAAATTGTTTCTCTGTTTTCAGATTTTTGTATAAGGCTCCCGTTTTCATAGTCCTATGTCCGTTTTCTGTCCTTGAAGTCTGCGAATACGTGTGTTTATTTACAAATTACTGTAAGTCATGCTTATACCTTAACTAATTTACGTTAAAAGTGCATATAATTAACTAATTGGTATTGAAGCAACAAAATCCTCTATATTTTTATATTTATTTAGTCACGTTGTTCCATATTTCAAATAAATATATGTGAATAAATTATCTTTTGGTTTTATTTATGAAAAGAAAAAATACAAAATACATTTGAACTGAAAGAGGGCCCGCCATTGAATAACCGGAAACGGAAATGAAAATTAAGCCATCATGTCCCTAATCATGTCAACCTGTCAATTGAAAAATTAGATCTCCAGACGACAACGAAGGCTTTCGGTGGCGTATCGTGTTTCCACGATTTAACACAGAGTTGACACTTCTTTCTAGTTAATTATTTTATGATAACAATCGCCAAACAATAACAGAAATAATTTTCTCTTGTCAAAGTCAGAATCTCCAAAAATTATAAGATCTTTCAAAATTTAAACCGCCCTCCTTGAAAAAATACCGAAAAGTGTTTAAAGTTTAATTTAAATTTTACTTACTCAAACCCGTGATAATTGTGAAAAAGTAGCATTAAAAACTAAAAAAATGTGTTGTGAACTGTGAACTGCAAAAACCATCGTGGATCGTGGCATAACGTCGGTTTCCAATGTTTCATAAGTATTTCACATACATGTCCTTATATAAAATAAAATTTCTTGTACGCAACACACTGTATTTTATTTATAAAATTAAAAGAAGATAATAATAAATTTGAATAAATAATATTTGGCGACATAATAACGGAAAAAGTCGAACCGATCCGAAATTATCAAAAGCTTTGGGTCGCGACCGTTGCAAGAATAGCGCCAAATAGTGTTTACATTGTCTTTATGGGCACTTTCCAATCTAAACTTGTTTCATTTATCTATGTCTATTCGAGCTCCACTAAGACTGCGCTTAGGCAGAGCTGAGAGACAGATCAAAAACACCCCCCCCCCCTCCTTCCTTCGACACTCGCTATAGTCATAGTAAAATGTCACGTTTTTTGTTTTAAATGCATTTTTTACCTTGTTTATGAAAATAACTATAGGGTATATTATGTTCTTAGAAAGCTTATTACAAGACAAAGAAAATAATTTTGAATTCGATTAGAAAAAATACACATCAAGTTGTGCCTATAGAAAACTTGGTATTATATTCTTGAAATCTTTATAGGTGAGGTTGATATTGTTACCAAGTAAAAAACAGAAGCACAAGACCAAAATACGAGCAGGAGAGAACCCTCAATTTATGGAGAGTTTTCTTTTACACAGAGTCAATCCAGGTAAAGTATACTCGTATGTTTTAGGTGTTTGAATTTGCACACTTTATTTTTTTTTTTATAAATAAAACAAGATATATTTTTTATTGCATTTTACAATTCTCATAGTAGCATACCCAAGTAGCATTTGGACGTTATCTAACGTCGGGTATACGTCGTGTTCAATAAACCCGACGTCGGGTACCAACGTCGGTTCGACCGCCTGACGACCCTTATTTGCACCTAAATGGGGAATACAGATTCGGGTCGCCTCGACGTCGGTATCTGACCTAATAGGGAATGTAATTCTACCAATTACCAACGTAATATTACGTTGGATTTTAGTTACTTAAAATTCGTCGCTAAGCACTTACGTTACGTTTGGTTTCATATTCGCTACCAAGAATACATAAAAACCTAACTAAATTACCTAATTACAAATGGATTCATAATCACTCCTCGAATAGAACTATAAGTGCCTATCTAATTTCATATTATAATAATTCTGAATCATTAATCCAGACATCAGTTTTGTCAACGGAAGTCACTTTTTTGATATATCTGATTAAAATACTCCGGAAAACAACGAGCGCCTTCAAAAGTAGGTAGATTTATGAAATAAAATATCTATAAAAAGTAACTCGCAAAATATTTTTTTTTTTATTTTCTAGCTGGTTTAATCATAAAACTGTACTGTGGTTCCCCCCCAAACTCAACCTTATCAATATTATTCTACTAGAAATCGGAATGTGAATATAAATTTTAAAAACCAAAAACGATTTTAAAATGGCTGACAATCGGATACCTGTTAAGAATGGCGGATTTCTGTGTCCGACTTAATATGAACTACCAATATACCAAATCCGACCGGGTCTCCAACATTAGTCGTCTCACACGACCGAAGTCATCAAACCAGACGACCGGCAATCGTATTATGACGTATATAATTCCAACGTACGCCACGTAACCTCACTTTGCGTATCAGTGATTTGTGGATTTGTGCAACTATATTTTAGTTTTTGTTTTCTCTTTAAAACAATGGGCAGCCACTTTTTTAAGATAGTATATACAAAATTTAAAAGAATTGGAACCAGTACCTCACATGTGGGAGGAGGATGGGGTCTGCTGGTTTCCTAAGCTAAAATGAAATTAAGATGCACCAGTGTAATGCAGCATCTCTTCCGATAAAAAGCATTCGTGGGCGGAGGGAAGACATCACTACTATTATTATTATTTTGCAAAAGCCTCGACCTCTTTCTGTAAAATGTAGATGAATGTCTAAATGCCTTTTAGTGTTTTTTAGGCAAAATAAAAAAATTAAGTTTGTTTACAAAACTTTTATTAGGTTATGTTCATGATGTTTATTAGGCCGCAAATGCTACTTAATGGGTTGTATTTATGGACGTAAATAGAGATACGTAAATTAGGTTAACAATATGAACATAAAATACAACAAAATATAATTGGACGTTACTTTAGGGATTATCAGTGAGACGTATCCTATTCGGACAACGGGTAGACGTCGGGCTAGTTCAAGTATAGGTACGTCGTGCAAGCCAACGTTGGAACGACGTTGGGAAATTAATAAAAATGGTACGTTATTTTGTACGTCGACAGATCGTTGGATTTACCGACTCGGATCCAACGACGTCACTTTTAATAGGAAAGCGACGTCACCAGTCGTATCACCAGCACCCGACCTAAATTTGCACAAAGTCTGACGTCGCTTCAGGTCAGATTTAGTTCGAAGTCAGATAGATGCTACTTGGGTATTTAGCATATATACTTATATAAACAAATGCACGAAGGAATTAATTATTCATTTCATCATAATTGGTCTGTATATGATACCCACTTAGCCAAAGTGTTAATATTATAAATTAATCACGATTATTATAGTTATTTTTTATACAAGACGATAAAATGGTATTTTATCGTCGACCGAAAAGATTTAAGAAATTAATTTCGGGAGACGATAATGCGATTTTATCGTCGTGTATAAAACAATATTTTTTTTCCATAGCGAGTTACGTTTTAAAAAATAATCAGAAATTATTATTTCAAAGAATTTATTACGAGTAGAAAAAATATTGTGCTGGGATGGCGTGGTTTCTATGTAATTTGACAAATAATTAATGCTGTCTCTTTAGTTGTCAGTTTTGAGTCAATATTTTTTAATTCTCTTTCGTGTCGATTGCTGATTGAATTGGAGCCAGAAATGGCACAAAACGAAATAAGTAAATTACCAACAGATATTCAGGCTGAGGCGACAAACGCCATAATATCCAAATTACTTCCATTTAAATCCCGAATAACTTATGAAAAGGAATACAAAAATTTTCAGAAATGGAAGTAGCAATTAAAAAACGTGCGAGAAGAAATAAAGTTTTTAACCTATCCTCGCTGTTAAAGTATCATTTAATCTACCCTTGCGGTTAAAGTACTATTTTATCTACTATTTTTGATAGATATAAGGCAATTTTAACAGTTGCTATGGAAAAAATATTGGAATTATAATATAGGTCTTTGTTTTTCTTTTTCTTGAAATTCATTATTCTTAATATCTAAACGATAAGTGTTTATGTTTTAGGGATTTGGATTTTGCTCTATTTTATTTGTAAAAACGTTCGTTTTGATGATATACTAATACTTTTCCATTTACATCTTTTAACAAAGAACCCTTACATATTCATTATAATTTCTTTTTAAATCTCATTAGTAGAGAATTTTTTATAAATCGGTTATTAATCTAATCATAAACTTCTCTGTATCATTCATTGCTTATCTTTAATAAGACATTTTGTTTATAGGATATTTATCTTTAATAAGGTTTAAAAAATATGTTATATTCATTTCATAAAGAAATAAAGAAATAAAATGAAAGTCTATCTAATTTTGTCATTTATTTATACACCGTTCTTTGCAATTCTATGTAGCATTAGGAGGGCATTATAAATTAGAAGAAAAAGTGGTCTAAAGAAGTTTTGGTCAATAAACAAAACACATTTTTTTTGTCATAATTCGCACATACATGAGACATACTTTGTTTTAATATTATATAAATTAATTATGATTATTATATTTTAAACAAATTTATCAGAGTTTGGAAGTTACTATGATAACTACTGATTATGTGTTTCCTTTGTTTGAAAGCTATTATTTATGAAATATCTAAAAGACAAGATTATATTTTTTATGAATTTGGATTTAACTGTATTTTATCTTTAAAATGTCCTTTTTGATCATATTTTTCTTAAGAAACTTAATAAGAAAATATCTCCATCTCTTAACAAACGAAATAAAAGTATGAATGAGATTTATTTCATTGTTCTGTATAATTACCCTGCTAACAATATTCGTTATATTTTTTTTTCATAGCAACTTATTGCCACGCCCTTTCTAATTTGAAGTTCAATAAAACACAAAGTTTACTTAATCTGAATGAGTTGCATAGAGTATAATCTCGTGGCGCCCTTTTATTAATATCTTTGAACCCTGACCACCCGGCTGTTAAAAATTAAAAAGCTAGTGGCCTCTATGCAACTCATTCAGATTAAGTAAACTTTGTGTTTTATTGAGCTTCAAATTAGAAAGGGCGTGGCAATTTTTGGCGCCCAACGTGGGGCAGGAGGAATCGGAATATCGGTCGGAAAATTCGTCTATTTAATCCCTTGACGGAAATTTGGTCGGTGGTCCATACAAATTCAACAAAATCCAACCACGTCTTTGACCAAATATGTTTCGGAAGCTTTAATCCTTCTTTACGAAGACCTGCTATTCACCAACAGGGAATGCTTCACGAAACGGCAGCCAGTTCTTCACGACGATATTCTCGGTCGGGGAGTACACAAGAAGTGATGCAAGGATTCGATTTCCTTCACAAAATCAGATTTCAACCGGAAATCTCCCTCCAGGATATAGATAGAGAACTATATATCTTGACTAGTCCAACTCACAAAAAGGCATAAATAAAAAATGATGTTCTAGATTATTTTCACAGCCATCTTCGATATCCGGTCAATGAACGAACTAAACTCACAAATTCCCACAATTAAATGAACGAATTGCACACTGCGATCCACATCAAAAATAACAATTTAACTACGAAATTTTATCTGATAGTTATAAAATTTCAATAACCAAAACAAAGGATAAATAAATCCAAAAACATCTGATTTGATCTGACAGTGACAAGTGACAAGTGATGACCAAAGATAAAAAGAGGTCGACAAAAATTCTAATGCTGGGCCAGTGACAATATTGTGAAGCTTGCATATCGCGGTTTATATCGGGTTGCATAATCGTAAAATTTAAATAAAATAATATTTAACAATAAAATTATAGTAAACATGATGCAAAAATAATAGTTATTTGTGATAATTTATGAGCTAGCACACAGAGGTCGTTGCGAGGAAATTTGACTGTTACAAACTGTTAAAATTGCCTTATATCTATCAAAAATAGTAGATAAACTAGTACTTTAATCGCAAGGGTAGATAAATGATACTTTAACAGCGAGTATAGGTTAAAAACTTTATTTCTTCTCGCACGTTTTTTTAATTGCTTCCATTTTTGAAAATTTGTGTATTCCTTTTCATAAGTTATTCGGGATTTAAATGGAAGTAGTTTGGATATGGCGTTTGTTGCCTCAGCCTAAATATCTGTTGGTAATTTACTTATTTCGTTTTGAGCCATTTCTGGCTCCAATTCAATCAGCGATCGACACGAAAGAGAATTAAAAAATATTGACTCAAAACTGACAACTAAAGAGACAGCTTTATTTATTTGTCTTGAGCTAATTTAATTTTAACTCTACAAAATTACTGTACAATTTCAGAGGACGTCAACTCGATGGGCATTAGACTGCGCCTCTACGGCTGTGAAAGGATGCGCAGAGAAAGACTAATAGGGGAAGCGGTAGTCAGTTTTGCCAACATAAATTTGGAACTAGAAAACAACTTCTGGCTGACGATGGAGTCGAGGTGTAACACAACGGTATGTGAAAACTTCCTACAGGTACTGAATCTTTTTTAAGATGTTTTTATTCGCTATTTGTGTCTATAGAGCACATTAGCCACTACACAGATGTTTGTCAATGGATCAGCACAGAATGTGATGTATAAAATTGTCTTAAAATATACATGTGATTGAATAAATAATACTGTAAGACACTGTTGTATAAGCGATACCAATTAAACTTTTAGTGACGTTAACGAGGGTGCAATTTTTAAATTCATTGTTGCCAACCATGGGCAAAGTTGTCACATTTATTTATTTATTTCCTGACATTGTCATTCGTTTTGACACTTTAGTTTATTATCACTTGCGTTTTGGATTTAAATGAATTGTGTTGTGATACTTTAAGTTTAAAAATGTTTACTAGTAGACATTGCAGTCGAAAATTGTTCTTTTTAGAACCTCTTTTAGTGCGAAGTGTACAAGATAGCTTAATAGCTGTTGCAAAAAACTCACCGCAACCCTATTTTGAAGGGGAAAGCGGTAGTAATGACCCTTTATGTCCCTTAAGTGCGGTTCAGGAGGTGAGTTTTGTTGATGTAAATAATAATTGTTTATATATTGATAATTAATTAATTTGTTTCCTAAAATATTCTAATTAAAAGAAAATATGTAATAGTGGGCAACGCTGTGCGTTATAATGCGTAGTGAAATTCCAATTCAATTTTTTACTATTTTGTTGTAAAACATTTTTATGTTTATATAATGCTTAAGTTTAATAAAATATTTTAGACATTATTATTATAATTAGTTATATATTTTTATAACAGTTCTAACTTTAATTTAAGACTATCAAGAACACTAAAAAACATAGTAAAATTCAAAATAAAGTGTTATTCTACGATTACATCGACTTTATTCAATCACAGGATATATTACTTACAAATCAGTGTTGTAATATGCCACAAAAAATAAATTATATATACCGTATGATCGAAAAAAAGGCGTCAAAGACGGTACAATCGATAATAAGTTCGATAATCGATCGAAGTTAGGTTTACAGATATATAAATTTGCCTAACGAACAAAAAAATGCTTACGTTTCGGATAGTCTATCTCTTTCCGTCGTCGGAAGAAAAAAAACAAAGAATAAAGAAAAAAACTATTTAAAATATTTAAATTCAACTATTCGAGAACGGTTTAGTTTTTTAAAACAGATACGTCTACAACAGAGAGAACACTAATAACTAAAGTGAGAGGGACCGATCAACGTTAATTTTTGAAGACTGTGTTAGTGGCGCGGCCTTTGGCGTCTAACCCGAACTATGAGCGCATTATCGATATAGTAGGTTGCATTCATACCTATATACTGGCGCCAAAAATTTAAAATTTTTATATTTGAACGGAATCTTAATCTTTCAAGTTTATAATAAGAAACCTTCGTAGTTTTTTTAGATTATTTTGTTGACAACGAAAATTTATTATTACTTTAAAGCATTAAAACCTATAAATAAAATACTGTGTAGGAACATAATAATTTATTTAACTCCAAGAAATATCTAGCAATAAAAAGAAAAAAACATATTCCCATAACACAAAATAAATTAAAATCTTTCTTAAAAATGTTAATAATAAATAAAAACGAAACGATACATACTAATGTTTTGCCACAGGCTTTTCTTGACCTGTGGGTGAACCGTTTGTCAACCCAGGTCTTTGGTGGGTTGTGGATTGTCATGCTTTTTCTTGAACTAAAAATAAATAAGTTCAATTTTTCATTAAGGTTTAATTTTACATGCTTACCAGTTTAGGTAATCCGTTTCTGTACATGTCGTAGTGGAGCTCATACTCCTTGCCATACTCCAACTCAAGGCTGCAATTTTCAATATCTTTTTTATCTAACTTGGTTGGGAGTGAACAGGGAAGCACGGTTGGGAGCTCGCACAAAGTATCAGTAGGTATCCCGTAGGTATTCAATGTTTTTGAAAGTCTTTATTCTATAACAAGAACCTATCAGTTGAAGAAAATAATTTGTATTACTGGTAATACCAGGTATAATACCTAGTCGTTTCATAGGTATCAGAAAAGAATGTGATGTTTTACTTTTACAATCGGATTTATCCCATACGTTATGCTTACCTATGTAAATTAGCAATGTACGACTATTAGTACGATAGCTAGCAACGTCGGGAAAACAAGTATTTTAAGATGTCTGGCTCTTTGATATATATTTTACTATGCTCTCTAGAACAGTCTGGCTGCCGGTAAACGTTGTGTTCCCTACTGCGCATTGGAAAAAGATCCTATATTTTATTAGTTATTTAAATTCTAGTATTGAATATAAACCGACCGAGTCTCCATAACTTAATGCGTAGAGTTTCAGACTACGAACCGAGGAGTCAGAGTTCGAATCCGGGTCAGGACAAAAACTTTTTTATTTTATTTTCGTTTATATTCTGATAGTAAAGTATTAAATATTTGTTTTTTTGAATCACCAGAATTATTTAATACTTTACTATAAGAATATATACCAAAATAAAATAAAAAAGTCTTTGCCCTGACCCAGATTCGAACTCTGAATCGTCGGTTCGTAGTGGGTACGCACTGCGCTATGGAGACATGTTCGATTTATATTCAATACTAGAATTTATAGGACTAAATTAAAAAATATATAGGATCTTCTTCCGATGCGCAGTAGTGAACGCAACGGATATCGGCAGCCAGACGGGCATACTGTTCCAAAAGATATATCAAAGAGCCAGATGATTTATTTATTTATTTTATTTATTTATTTATATGACAATAATCTTCTCTTCTCACAAGGTAAAAGAGGTACATTCAGTCAAAAACAATTTATTAATCCGATTATCAACAGATTTTAGTTATCTCCTTCTAGAGCTAAGAAAAAAAAAGCTACTGACAATCTAATTAATCCTGTCAAATGTTTAACTTACAAAGTTGAAAACTTCTTTTTTTGACTGCCTAAACGCTATGCGCGTCTGGGATGCGCGGTGACAAAATAAACTTGTCTACGAAATGCCATGGAAATGCCCTATTCCACAAGCCCTCTCACTTTAGTTATAGTCTGTCCAACGAGAAGATCCTTGACAGTGATAGATGTGTCTGTCATTTTAATTTCAATGTAGTTTATTTTATTTTACAAAGAAATAAGTTGGTACAACTGGAACGCATAGCAGAAAATTAATATATGTATTTAAAATTTGACTGACAAGTAACTTCAAAATATTGTGAAAAGAACTGTATAAAGTATAAAACTGAAAAAATGTAATCGAGTTATTTTATTTAATAAAAAACGGTATGTGTTAATACAAAACAAACAAAAACAAGACACCACATACCAAAAAATATAAAAAAGAACTATTTCTTACTTTCAAGCTTTATGAAACTTCCCGCATTTATGATTATATTTATCAATATAACTTATGTACAAATACAAATTTGTAATATTCTGCAGGAATAAATAAATAAAACCGCATAAATAAAACAAACTATTTTATTAATAATAACACTTACCAAATTTTATACCTCACAGGTTGATTAATTAACTTTAATCTTAATTTTTTAAACCAGTACCTTTTGACATTATTTTTCTGCAGTACTAAAATCCATTATTTACCTATCGTGCGATGTTTTACATCTACTCCAGTTTTTAGTATGTGTTTAGTACTAAGGTTTAGTATGGTCCTTCTACCATATTCGAGATGCACTTAACTACGACGAGATGGTATACGAACTTTATTGATAGTAACTTTATTGGTGTATCTGTATAAGACTTTCTGCCTGGGCAGCGAGTATTAACCATAAACTGTGCTCTGGGTTCTACAGTTAATTTTCACTCGATTTTTCCTCCACTTGACTTCAAAAGACACAAAACACACGTAATAACACGAATCAAAATGCATCATCTTCCAAAACGCAGGGTATTTGACAAAAGTTGTCACAAAATTATAACCTATAATTTGGCAAGACTTTGACAAACGTCAAAAATCTAAAGGCGAGTTCATACGCATCGGCGTCCGTTTGTCATTCATCGTTCCGTCAAACCAATTAAATTGAAATACGATCTGTCATTTTTGAAATAAACCAATAAAACTGGTTAAATACAACAAGTGACGACGCATGACGAATTTATATTTAAACCCATCCATAGTTAACTTAAAAATTATTAGAAACTTTTTTTAGTAAAATCTTTGAATAAGAAGACTAAGGAAGGAGCATATCAAAAATCTTAGGTACACCGCGATGGGCCTCAAATATGGCCGACTTAAATTCCGGTTTATCAGTGTCGTTCTAATTTTATTTAAAAAATGTAAAACTATGATGTAGGGTAGACGTGGGGTAGACTCAATAATTTGTTGTTTTATTTTACGTTGTGAATAAATGTTGGTAGTTATTAAAATTGTTATAAAAATATATAATTGTAATAAAAATAGATAAGTTATAATAAGTATTTATTAACACAAACATCCGATACGCTACTGAAGCAGGTAAGTCAAATTAACATATCTAAATTCTTTGACATTAAATCTTTGACAAGTAATAAATAAAAGCTAAAATGCAAGAAAAATATATAATTTAGTTAATTTAAGTGAATTTCATAAATGATCGGTTTACTACACGTATGTATATTATACCTATAGTCACTTACTAGCGAAAAGTTGTTCCATTATTTCACTCAATTTTTGCCGAGATCTACCGCACGCTACACAACCAACTATTTTAGAGTCTTTTTCGATAATCGCGATAGTGTCACTGTTAATTTAAGTTCTGTCACAATTTCCATCTAGATTTACTACCTTTATACAACTATCAGTAGTAGAATAAATAATAAATAACATAAAATAAGCTCCATAAAGACTGACAAATCCACAAAATTTCAAATCAAATTCAAATGTGTCAAATGAATCGTCAAACAGAACTATCAAGGATCCCCACCCTAGAGAGCTTTTATGGTGCCTTTTCCGCCCACCATGCATGAATACATGGATAGCATTATGCTCCTTCCTTAGTCTTCTTATTCAAAGAGTAAAATAAATAGATTGGTATGGGACGTCATCTGCTTTTCTTCTGTCATCGTCTGTCGAAATCTTACCTGAAGAAAAAAAAGTATATTAGTGTTCTCTCTGGTCTACAAAAACCGTTGACGTTCTGTTAAAATGACATTATATCAAGTTAAACTTCAAAATTAACAATTACTACCTGATAACAATTACTTAATAAGGTAAAACCAAAAAGCCCCAAACTTTCTGTGTGATTATTTTTAATTGTTACGTATGTTATGTTTATTTATGTTATTTTCTTTAAAATCAAAGAAGCGATTTCCATACATTATTAACATCTACAGATGCAATACCTTTATTTTTATTAGATTGTATTAAAAAAGTCTCTTTTATTTTTCTTTTAGAATAAAAAAGATTTTTTTTATAATGAAAGAAGCGATAGCCTCTAAATTACTATTATTATTATTTTAATAATAAAAAGTCTGAAATATAAAAAATATAAACATATACAACAAACATATCTCCTGTCAATTTTCTCCCTAACCGAACTGATGATCTGGACGGTTGGTTGTAATTTTACAGTTTTCTATTTTTGTGACGCCTGGCGTGATGCTTCGCGTGACGCTTTGTTATTTCTGTCATTTTTGTTTTCGTGTGTCACGGCCTTGAATTTTTACTCCCATCGCGCCTAAAGAAGTTTAATTTCAAAAACAGCTTCATAGTTGCCTTTTAAAGGACAAATTGTGATAATTTACCAACTATTTCATTGAACTACACTTGCGTGCATAGAAATCGGCCCAAGGCAATCTTTTGAAGTTAACTATATATTTTTTATAATCTATTTGTCAGATTAGAAAAAATACATGCTGTTTGAAAGACAATTTCATATTCTTTAAAAAGAGTTTAGAGATATTAATTTGTATTTTGGTTTCTTTGGATTAAAAATACTAAATTAATGCATGAAAGCGAATAGAATGCACTAAGAGGTGCGAATAGAATGCACTAAGAGGTGCGAATAAAATGCACTAAGAGTCCATGTTATTATTTATTTATTTATTTATGGACAATTAACTAAACTAAATTTTCAATAATGGGTATGACCCCCTCTTGCTCTAACAACATCTCTCATACCATTTGGCATAGATTCGATCAAATTTGATATTGTTTCTTGCGGGATGTTAAGCCACTCTTCCTCTACTGCAACAATAAGCTCTGGGATAGAAGTTGGGGCTCTTCGTCTAGTACGAATTCTTCGTTTTAGCTCATCCCATAAATGTTCTATCGGGTTTAAGTCTGGACTGCATGCTGGCCAGTCCATAACCCGAAATCCGACTTCTGAAATGTAATCGTATACGATTGTTGATGTGTGTGCCCTCGCATTATCATGCATAAATGTGAATTCGTTTCCAATGTAGTCGACGTAAGGTACCACATGAACTGCTAAAAACTCCTCAATATACCTAGCACCAGTTTAACCTCCTCTCACGTGCCGACGGTCGCCCCAACGGATGAAAACTGGGTCGGTTCGCGCAGTTATAGAAATTGCATCCCGGATCATGCAGGAACCATGCAGGAACCACCTCCATAAGCAATCCGCTCCTCAATGCAGCATTCTGCGAATCGCTCACCTGGCCTCCGGTACACTTTTCTTCTTTGGTCGCTACCATAGAGGCATATCCTGGTCTCATCTGAGAATAAAATAGATTCCCATTGTTCTAGTGTCCAATTCAGATGTTCTAGTGCAAAACGCAAGCGTGCTTGACGATGAGCTGGGGTAAGTTTTGGACCAATTGCGGGTGTTTTGGGGGTCATGTTACTTTCCTTCAATCTTCGTCTTACTGTCCACTGACTAATAGTCACTCCTCGTGTTTCACGGAGCTGTTGCTGCACCTGAATAGCATGAAGACGCCGATTTCTTAACATTGTTGACACAATAAAGCGGTCATCATAATCCGTTGTATATCTCTTTCTACCAGTTCCAGGTCGACTACGAAAGGATCGAGTCTCCTCATATCGTTCACACATTCTTCGAACCGCTCCACGTGTCATATGTAGTTGCCGAGCTACAGCTCTCTGTTTAAGTCCATTTTCGATTAAAGCGATTACTTGGGCGGCTTTTTCCGGTGATGTATGCATTAAATTGAAACACTAATCAAACAATGAAACAACTAATCAAAGAATAAAAGAACAATGTGAAAATTTCAATTACAAAGGTAGTAATTGCAATATTTGACAAGTTTGTTATTCTTATTGTCACCACAACACAAATTTCTTTTATTTGTTTACCCGTTGGTATGCATATAAACGATAAGTACCCTGGATAAATTTATGCTCATATTAAAGCATGTTAAATTGTCTTTGAAACAGCTCATATTTTTTACTTGTCTGATAAATAGATTCTAAAAGACACAGTTAAAACCAAAAGTTCACAGTGGGCCGATTTCTATGCACGTAAGTTTAGTTCGCTCGAGCTATTAAGCACACCTCTATTAGTAAGACCAATCAAAATTTGTTCTGACTTCCAGCTGAGCGGCTGCACGGGCGAACTGATGAGCCTGGCCCGCTCCGACAGCACCAGCTCCACTCACTCGATGCAGCACGGCGGAGTGCCCGAGCTGCTGCTCGGCCTGTGCTACAACGCCATCACGGGCCGGCTCGGCGTCGAGGTGGTCAAAGGGTCGCATTTCCGTAACCTGGCCTTGAACAGGGCACCGGATACCTACGTCAAGCTGAACCTGGTGAGCAGCACGGGGCAGGAGCTGGCGCACAGCAAGACGACGATCAGGCGCGGCCAGCCCAATCCGCTGTTCAAGGAGACGTTCGTGTTCCAGGTAATTTAGTTTAGTTACAACAACGATATTGTTAATGTACGTCTACTGGAAAGGAATTTAAAGAATGTAGCTACAAGATTAGAGTATGCTCAATTTACTACAAAACATATTTAAATAAACATATTTTATATATCGCTACCTACTCGTATATACACGTGGCAGAGGGTCCACGTGGTCTTGACCAAGTATGTCATCGCAAAACACTCCCTGCCTACTCATTATATTGGCCGCTTGCAAATTTATCGAATTCTTATTGACGAGATGCATTGAGGAACTTTTTTGAAAAGAACAGTACTTTTTTGGAACAAATTGTCCTTTTGAGTTTTTTTGACCTAAAAAATCCTTTTTGTTTGCGTATTTTTCCTTAGAAAATTATCTACAGCAACCAGCAATATTCCCTTCGCCAATATAAAAAAGTCATTTTAACGCCTCGGCATAAAAGTAAAGCACTTTTGCGCCTAAGCACAATCATATACAAACTAAAAATGTAAGTACAAAAGCTCTGACAAAAGTACGAAAATACAATGATCGAAAAAAAAGCGGCGTCAGCGTTAGCTATGAAATAAAGATCGCTGTCATTTTATATGTATAACTAGCGTGTACCAGCGACTTCGTTCGCGTCGAATTAATCATTTCTAATGGTGATGATAAAGCAAAGCAAGAATTTCCATGAACATACAAACTGGATAAAATTTTCTCACATTTATGTTAGCATGAGAAATATGACGATATTATTATATAACTTGGTAATATTTGAGGGGTAGTTTCATCTCGTTGGAATTTGACTTTCGAAAAATCCGTTTGCCAAAAATAAGCTTTTTACGTCAAGCAGTTTAAGCAGAATCGTGGTTAAGAAATTACCTAACTTTTTGGAACACCCTGCATGATTTTTTAAAAAATTTCAAAATATGTAAAAAAACAATAATATAGTCTATAAAATGAATAACTTTGAATTTTGACCGTTATTTTTTACCAACATGGCAAATATAAAATCCCTCTATCAAAAAAGTTACTGATATTCTTTAAATTGAGTGCCTGAACGAATCAGATAGGTAACTCTTTTTACTTTCGTGTAATGGAAAAGGAAAATAATAAAACAAGTGACAGTTGACAGTTCTTACCACTTCTTGCAAAAATCAACACAATTGTCAAAAGTAAAATGTCATCAGATTTTGACATTTCTAAATATCAGACCAATGCCGTCTCTAATAGAACAGCCTCGGAGCGAGATTTATGACGTCACACTAGTTAGATACTACGGATTAATAAATATGTTGTAAAATACATGGAAAACATAATAATTCCTCGTATTTTTGGTTTGTATTTTAAAAATGATATAGTTTACATGAAATATACATAATATACAGTTAATAAATACAATATATATATATATATATATATATATATATATATATATATATATATATATATATATATATATATATATATATATATATATATATATATATATATATATATATATATATATATATACCTATTTATAGTAAAAATACTTTGGCAAATAAACTATGAACCATACAAATGTAGCAAATGTTTTGCAATATACAAATAATGAATAAGGTACATAAGATAATGGGTAAAATGTAAAATATATTTTAAATTTTGGGGTTTGAAAATCGATCTAATTTAACAAAAAACATTCAATATCTACTAATAGTGATGTATTATTATTTGCATTCACAAAATGTATATGTATATTTTGCAAGTATCAATGTTCGAAATATTATATTTGCAAATAATACACAATATCATAGAAAAAAAGGCGTCAGCGATGGCTATGAAATAAAGATTGCTGTCATTTTATATGTAAAATTATTCTAAAATTTTTGATTTTCTTGGGATTTAGGTTCGGGAAAAACGCTGATTAAGTTTTCATTTGTTTTTTCATCATTTTTTTTTTGGTTTAAAAAAAACGTTGGTTAAAAAAACATCATAACCTTTAACAGTGTTCTGTCATATGAAAAAAATAGTGTCGAATATAATCCAAAAAATTACATATAAAATATTCACAGCACACGCCACATAATGTTTACTGCAATTAATAAACTAATATAAACTTGTCAAAAGATGACGACGTATTTTTTAAAAGTATTATTCACACTAAAACTACCTACATTGACTATTGAGTACGATTTCAGTCACAGTAAGTAGTAAACATTGAGTGTTGTTTGTTAAATTAGATCGATTTTCAAACCCTAAAATTTAAAACATATTTTACATTTTACCCACTACCTTATGTACCTATTCATTATTTGTATATTGTAAAACATTTGCTGCATTTGTATGGTTCATAGTTTATTTACGAAAGTATTTATTACTATAAATAGGTATATTATTAACTGTATATTATGTATATTTCATGTAAACTATATCATTTTTAAAATACAAACAAAAATACGAGGAATTATTATGTTTTCCATGTATTCTACAACATATTTATTAATCCGTAGTATTTAACTAGCGTGACGTCATAAATCTCGCTCCGAGGCTGTTCTATTAGAGACGGCATTGCGTCAGCATGGCCGCAAGTTGCTAACCTAGTAAAATTAACACTAGAAAAGCCCGCGGGAACTGTCAAATTCAAATTTATTCGTTTCACAGGCTATATAAGCAAATAAATTATGCTTGTCCAAGCGTTTTCCCGAAAGACTAACCGTTTTTTAAATAACAAATATTGTAATATTTGAGTGGCGTTTTCGCCCTCTTGGAATTTGAGATTCGAGAAACCCCTCCTTATCGAACCTCTTTTTCGAAACACCCTGTATACATTTTTAAAAAATCTTAAAATATGTAAAAAACAAAATAAAATATACGTGTTTAAGCGTTTTTTCGGAAACTTAACCGTTTTTTAAATAAAAAATATTGTAATATTTGAGGGGTGGTTTCACCTCACCCTCTTGGAACTGGAATTTCAAAAAATCCCTTCTTATCGAAGCTCTACACCCTAGAATCAACCTGTATGCCAAAATTGAGCTTCTTACGCTGAGTGGTTTGAGCAGGATCGTGATTAATCAGTATGTCAGTTACTTAAGGATTTTATACAGGGTGTCCCAGAAATAAGTGCAGATATTTTAATTGGTAGTATACTTCAACCCCAGAAACACGCCTATGAGGTTTTTTCGCGAAAAAAAAATTTTGAAAATTCGAAATTTTTGGAAAAATTTTTTCGAAATTTTTTTAGTTTTTTGTTAAAAGACATAGGTATTAAATTAAATTTACAAGAAAGAAAATCCAGAAAAGATCCAGTGGTTCTCAAAATTTTAGCAAAAAATCTTATTTGAAACTTATTTGAAAAACGATAAAGAGAAAATATGTTTCTTTTATCGAGATCTACCACCCCTTAAAATATTTGCACTTATTTCTGGGACACCCTGTATATTAGTATAGATTATTCGTCGGCTTTATGACGAAAAGGCGTATCTCGATTTTTAGCGATTTTGAGATATCAACGTCATGACATGCCCAATGGGTCATATTTTAACATAGCGAATTTGCGCATCTCAATATTGTACCTTTTTCATTTTATATTAGGTTAAAAATTTGCCCCATCTCAAATAGTACAATTCTTCGATATGACGAAGAGACGTATGTTGAGATAGGGCTCTTTGTTATATCAATTATTGTTATACCAATTGTTATACTACAAGAAAGATGGAATTTGAGATAGGTCCTTTTGTTTTAAGTTATGAAAATGCATGCGAGAGAAAATCACACCATTCTACCTGATTATTTTCTGACGGTTGCTTGGGACAAAATAAAACTTCTATCATGGCAGCAGCTTTCTTTTACAGCGTGATTTTAGAGTCTATTTTTTTGCCAAAAACCATTGTTAGAATGCGCTAGACTCTGCACATAGCTGTATCGGGTATGCAAAAGATTGTCCGAGAATAAATGGCCGAATAAAAGGAAAATTTTGATCGAAAGCAAAACAACGAAACGAAAATTGCCCTAATGGAAAATTTCCAGAAATCATAATTTCTCTAAGAACATTTTAGCGAACCAAAAACTTGCCCGAAAAATACAATAATTTTCATCTCATTATCATTGTCAGCCTATTGGCATTGCCATCCCTACCAATTTTTGGAAAATTTTATTTATTTTGCCTATCACCATCCAGCATAAACACGTAGAATGAAAGTCGAAAATGTTATCATTGAACAGGGAAAACAGAAACTGTTACTCCACAGTTATTTGTATAAAAAAACGAATGAAGAAACATGTTTTGTTTTTGTTTAGTTTGGTTTTTATTATATGAACCGTGAGTTTAAATACCCTGTATTAATGCCCTCAATTAACTAAAAAATGACTAAAAATATATTAGTTAAAAAATGCATTTTTGTATAAAAAACAATATTATTAAAATAAGCTAGATAAGAGTATTTTAATTGATTATTGTCTTTGCTTCTGGCATGAAAATTGTCTTTGTTTTCAGTTGATCTAATCCAACGCGAATAAAAGTATTTAAAAATATTTGTTTCTGATTTTTTGGCGATTTTCAGATTTTTTCTTGTATATATGAGGGGTGGAGTATCAAAACTCGTCTTATCCATTTTTGGTAATTTTGAGTAAAAGTATCTATAGTCTAGTATTGGCAGCCCTGCACAATATTCAGCATCATTTTTGTGGCATAACTCATTCTATCCTGTATAATTTACATGTTAAAGTCGTGCATTTGTTCCAAAACTAATCTTATCCACGCGTATATTGGTAGCAAAACTTGTCATATCATGCATGTGACGATTTGCCCAATTATCTTCATTTTAATAGTGCTTTCTTTAGTCATTGATGCAATTTCAGGCAAAGCACGATATATTTTATAAACGTTTAGTGTTAAACGATATATTTTTCAATAGTTTCTTAAGCAAAATGAACAATGAAACGGTCGTGTTACATGAAGGAAAGGGCAGGCGGAAAAATAGAAATAAAAGCTGGAGTAAAGAAAAAGCCAAGGTTGAGAGGTATGTATAAGTTAATGTGTCTGAGATAATTAGAGGCCTTTTTAATATAACATTCATACCTAAATTTTTATAATAGTAACTGATTAATGATGAGTATTATATCGAATGTATTAGAACCGGTATATTTATTTAGTGTTAAATTCATTTTTAAAGTGATATAATCATGAAATTAATAATAATTGATAAGAAATAGACCAGATCGAATCCTAATAACCAGAGAAAAGACTATTTTGTTCCAGAGTATTATTATTTTGTGAAATCTTAACATTACTTTAACGGCTATTACTATTAGAAAATTTGGTCTTGATTGGTTTACTTTTATATTTTTAGGAGAAAATCAAAAGGTCTACCAAAAAAGATTAGAAAAAGACCTTAAAAGGAAGGATACCATAATTGATCCCCAGGAGTATATAAACATATTTTCTAAATACGGAAAAGTAAAAATACTTGGTAAAGACGTGCCTGTTTTTGATTTTAAAACATGTGTAGCTGAAAATATTAAAGCACCTGGTCAGTTACATTTCCAGTTTGCGCCAGCAAAAAGATTAAAATTGATAAAAGATAAAAACACTATTTTACTTAAAGGGGAAACAACATACAAAAGTGATTTAGGTGTCTTTAAACCATTCCTCAAAAAAGGAAAAAATTTCCATTTTAAGCCTGAATTGCTTCCACTGAAGGTCCTGGTAAAAAAGGAGAAACTAGAAGATGTCAATAAACTTCTCAAACAGCATTTTGGACCAAATTGGATGGAGCTTAGTGAATTGGACTTCTACAAGAACCTTCTTTCCAGACCAGACAAAGACGAGATTCAAGAAGAAATGGAAGAAATTCAGGATATTCCAACAGAATTAAGTGATGAATTGACCGTATGATTTAACCAACTTTAATTTGTTTAAGATACTGTCTAATAATTTGTTAATAACACGTTTCTTTCAATAAATAGTATGTTCAATAAAACATTTACATTTAGAATTAACCCACTTTATTATTAAAAAAGTAGTTGGTCCTGTATATATCTTATTTCCAAAACTCTCTTTATCCCGTCTTTTTTGTTCCATAACTGCTCTAATTCATTAATTTGCAACAAAAATGTTCTTATCCAATTTTATTTTTTTAGTAAAAAGTGCAATTATGCATAAATTTATTTTTCCTTTTGTAAAATATCTATGTAATGCTTAAATTAGCAAATGACAAAGTATTGTTAATAAATATTGACTAATTAAGTTGCTGTTCGTTTTTTGCGATTATTGAAAATTAACGAATTTGGATAAAACTAGTTTTGGAACTCAGCCCCTCATATGTATTGTATTTTCTTGTAAGTATTCCATAATGTGAATATTGTATCATTTTTTTTTCTTATGAAGAACACTTTACCGTCATTTTTAAATTTATTTTACATGGGCGTATGTATACTATTCGTTCGGAAATAAATTTATTATTATTATAACAAAAAGGCCTATCTCTATTAAACAACTAAAAATAAATTATTTATTAGAATTTACGCTAAATTTATCTTGAGAACGTTTCCTCAATGTCTCCGTTTAAGTGTTAATACAAAAACACTATTAAAAAATTAAAGACTTTACATTTATTGGCCAAATAAAGTAAGTGATTTTCTTTAAATTGCTCTCCTGAAAAATAGCAAAAATCGAGATAGGCCTTTTCGTCATAAAGCCGACGAGGAATGTAATCGATGTTCATTTCCAAGCCAACTGGACGCCGTTTTTTCGATCATACGGTATTATTAAACTGATATAAAGTGTCAAATTCAACGAGTGTAACCATATTTTCTCGATATACAGGATGAATCTTAAATAAGTGCAAATATTTTGAGGGCTGGTAGATGTCAATTATAATAATTACTTACAGGGTATTACTTTTAGATCTATTTATATTATTTGCAACATTTCAAAATGTTTAAAAAAAAATTGTGAACGTTTGAAAAAAATAGCAGTAAAAATCCCAGTAAAAATTACTTTTTGTGCCTCGCATGTAATGTCATCAAAAGTACAGCCTCCCCACAGAAAGTAATATTTTTAATCTTAATAAAACAATATAAAATTATTCAGAAATTGTTTAGATCAGCAAAATATTTTTTTTTCCATAGCAACTTTTAAAATTGCCTTATATCTATCAAAAATAGTAGATAAAATAGTACTTTAACCGCAAGGGTAGATTAAATGATACTTTAACAGCGAGGATAGGTTAATAACTATAGCTTCTCGCACGTTTTTGTATTTCTTTTCATAAGTTATTCGGGATTTAAATGGAAGTAGTTTGGATATGGCGTTTGTCGCCTCAGCCTCAATATCTATTGGTAATTTACTTATTTCGTTTTGAGCCATTTCTGGCTCCAATTCAATCAGCAATCGACACGAAAGAGAATTAAAAAATATTGACTCAAAACTGACAATCTACTCGTAATAAATTCCTTGAAATAATAATTTCTGAATATTTTTTAAAACGTAACTCGCTGTGAAAAAAAATATTGTTTTATACACGACGATAAAATTGCATTATCGTAAAAATGAGGAAGACCTCTAATGACTTTAATTAAAAATCTAGAATTTTAATAGAAACCTATTTCAGGTAGCCTTATTTCAACTGGCCGACGTGACCTTGATGGTGTCAGTCTACAACCGCAAAGGCATGACCAAGAAGAAGGAGATGGTGGGCTGGTTCAGTTTGGGCCTGAACTCCAGCGGCGCAGAAGAACTGGCCCACTGGATGGACATGAAGGAGTTCCAACAGGAGCAGATCTGTCGCTGGCACATCCTGGTGCAGTCATAGCGACAGAATTACCTCATTTTTTTGGTTTGAACAGGGAAATGAATCAAATATTGCATTGGTGTGTGTTTTTTTACCGGAGGTATAACCTCAAAGGACATTGAAAAAATATCAATTGCTTGAGAATCTCAAGAGAAAAGAAAAGCGTAATGTTCTAGTTTGATAGTTTTCTAAGATTTTCTACTTTAGTGTTTGTATTTTTTTATTGAATCTTGTTGATTATGTTAAATATACTCTTTTATGTGTTGCCTGTATTTTTCAGGTGTTTTTTAAATTTTATTATTCTTTAAAAAAAAAATGTTAAAGCTAGATCTATTTTTATGTAAGACATAAATACGACTTTGGCTATATTTATACAGTATGTCCGCGGATAAAGAACCACAAAACATACTTAGTTTAATGCTACGGAAAAGGTGATACTAGTTATCACAAAATAGGTTGATTCCTATTTTGTGCGAAAGGGTGATGGTTAAACAACAACAAAAAATATGACGTTAATCAAAATAAATAATAATAACCATCTACAGTATGTCCCTGGACTCTCTTTACAAGAGGAAAACCTATTGGCATTTTGAGAAAAATGCATTCTTTTTTTAAAAAAAAAAGGTTTTAGATTTTTAGGATTTTTTTTAGGAAAAATTTAATTCTAAGTTCATGTTTTTTTTTAATTTTAAACGGTATGGAAATTTTAGTCTAAGAGCTAGCAACGTATTCGAGAAAGTATTTTAAGACGTCTGGTTCTTTGATATGTCTTTTACTGCTCTCTGGAACAGCATGCGGCCCGTCTGGCTGCCGATACCCGTTGCGTTCACTACTGCGCATCGGAAGAAGATCCTATATTTTTTATTAATTTAGTCCTATAAATTCTAGTATTGAATATAAATCGAACGTGTCTCCATAGCGCAGTGCGTAGAGTTTCCGACCATGAACCGATGATCAGAGTTCGAATCCGCGTCAGGGCAAAGACTTTTTTATTTTATTTTCGTTTATATTCTGATAGTAAAGTATTAAATAATTCTGGTGATTAAAAAAAACAAATATTTAATACTTTACTATCAGAATATAAACGAAAATAAAATAAAAAGTCTTTGCCCTGACCCGGATTCGAACTCTGAATCATCGGTTCGAGGTCGGAAACTCTACGCACTGCGCTATGGAGACATGTTCGATTTATATTCAATACTAGAATTTAAAGGACTAATAAATATATAGGATCTTCTTTCAATGCGCAGTAGGGAACGCAACGTTTACCGGCAGCCAGACGGGCCGCATGCTGTTCTAGAGAGCATAGTAAAAGATATATCAAAGAGCCAGACGTCTTAAAATACTTGTTTTCCGACGTTGCTAGCTCTCGTACTATTTGGAAAAGTATAAACGTTATTAGTTATTTTAGAACAAGCAAAATTTTTATGAAAAATGCATTTTTCTCATAATGTCAATAATAAAAAAGTTTTTTTCTTGTAAAGATAATCCGGGGACGTGCTGTATAAAAGAATAAAAACAAAATTACCACCACAGGAAACATTTTGATTTTTAGGAAAAAATATATATTTTATATTTTAGAATATTTTTAAACTATTTTTTTTTAATTTGGTACTCTTACACAGATTTTAATGCCAAAGCGAATGGCGATAGTGTAAAATTCCGTAAAATGTCCTCATTAGGGTAGAGATTACTGCTGGTGAATCCTTACTGCGGGCTTGTCCTTAAGATACAGTAATTTCAACAAATGACAATTAAAGCTAGGATTTTTTAGGACTTATTACTTTTTTATGTAAAAAGGGTGCTCCTCGAGCTCGTTTAGATCGAAATGGTGAATGATTTTGAAGATATTTGCGTTTAAAATTTATAATATATTATATTTTATAATGAATTCAAGAGATTTGCATTATACATAAAATTAGATCTAGTTTCAATAATCATTGCTAAATATCTCGTATATGAAAAAAAAAATATATAAAAACATTACCAGCCATGATAAAAAATTACTTAAAAGTTACTTAAAAGTTACTTAAGAAATGGTGAAAAAAGTAAAATGAAATTTAACTTTCTCTGAAGAGCTGATTTAAAAATATGTATTCAATAAAAGTTTAAAAGAGTATTAATAATTCTAAAAAAAATATATTTTATAAGCGATGCATACTATTCAACTTATTACATTTCTTGATTATATTATTGATCAGTCTCTCGATAATAATTGATCACCATTACATCACAATTTTTTACTATAAAAGCTAATCTACATAGATTAAAATAGCTAAACATGTTTGTTAACCTGAGCAGAAAGTATAATTAAAACGCCATAAAAAATATTTAAATATATTACGAATATCTATTGAAAACGAGAGCTTATTTACAAATTGAAATTATTGAATTTTTTTGATAATACAAAGATTTTATTTATATATAAATTATTTACTCAAATATTGCACAGACACGTACCAAGTGATCAAATGAAAACGTCACAGAAGAAATAACATTTCGTTTTGTGCTTTGTTTTGGTAAAAATCCACCAAAAAAGGAAAAAAATTCAAAGTTTTAGAACCGTATTAAAAATTTAATGGAATTACTTACTAACATTCATCTGTCACTGACTATGTCAGCGATGTACATAGTAAATCTTAAAATGAAATGTAATTTCTATGTATACTGGGACGCAATTTGATCAAGTTTTTTTAATTTTCTTTTTTTTCTCTTGCGGGAAACTTTTGCTCTATAAAATATAAATAATAAGAATTTTTCAAATTTTTCATGCTCCGGAGCTGACTTATTTTAAATCTAAATAGCAACTATAATTTTTTGAATTAACTTTTCTAAAAACTTCTTCAAAATATAAATATTATATGCCAAATAAAAATAATACAAACTATTGATATTGAACTGTAACAAAAAGTAATATATATGCACAAAATACATTTTAACAAAATTTATTAGATTATAAAAATAAAAATTATTTATTAAATCAATATATATTTGATATTTCTGTTAATAGAATTAACACAAAAGAATCTTATGTATCTAATTTATCTATATACACTGTTATTACTTATCATATATTTTAAGGAAAGAGTATAATCTACTAGTACGAGATCTAGCAACGTCGGAAAAACAAGTATTTTAAGACGTATGGCTCTTTGATATATCTTTTACTATGCTCTCTAGAACAGCATGCGGCCCGTCTGGCTGCCGGTAAACGTTGCGTTCCCTACTGCGCATTGAAAGAAGACCCTATATTTTTATTAGTCCTTTAAATTCTAGTATTGAATATAAATCGAACATGTCTCCATAGCGCAGTGCGTAGAGTTTCCGACCACGAACCGATGATTCAGAGTTCGAATCCGGGTCAGGCCAAAGACTTTTTTATTTTATTTTCGTTTATATTCTGATAGTAAAGTAACAAATAATTCTGGTAAATAAAAAAAAACAAATATTTAATACTTTACTATCAGAATATAAACGAAAATAAAATAAAAAAGTCTTTGACCTGACCCAGATTCGAACTCTGAATCATCGGTTCGTGGTCGGAAACTCTACGCACTGCGCTATGGAGACACGTTCGATTTATATTCAATACTAGAATTTATAGGACTAAATTAATAAAAAAATATAGGATCTTCTTCCGCTGCGCAGCAGTGAATGCAACGGGTATCGGCAGCCAGACGGGCCGCATGCTGTTCCAGAGAGCATAGTAAAAGATATATCAAAGAGCCAGACGTCTTAAAATACTTTCTCGAAAACGTTGCTAGCTCTTAGACTATACCGACATATAAAAAATAGATTAACCAAATGCGTAGATGTTTGACTCAACATATACAAACAAAATATAAACAAACTCTTTGTTTATTTACAATTTGGATTGGCCACAAACTTCAAGGCTATAACTTAAGGTAAATAAACAAGTGTGGTGTTGTCAAACTGAATTTTGAAAACCGAAAACTAACGTATGCCTTATCTAGGCATCCTGGTTACTTTATCTGCGTGGTCTGTATTTTGATGCATGCGACAGAGATAAATATAAATGACCGGTTGACAGACAGAGTGTGTAGAAACAAATCATTTAGTGTCTACTACTGAAATGAAGATAATATATCGATCTAAGCTAAATATAATCTATTACAGCTGTAGTAAAATGGGTATTTAATTGTAAAAAATAAAGTTCCAGCCCTAGATGCAAAATTTTTCATAAGCGCCGACTAGTGCGGTTTTAAATTCTGATGCAAAATCCGGCAATACTGCATAGAAGAAATGTATCAACCCAACTTTTATCTCTTTTTAATACATTTAATTTTCCATTAAGCTGTCTACATCACTTGCATACAGTTTAAAATCCATTTTCCATTTTTTAATTCTGAGTATGTTATAATGAATTATTGATACAGAAGTCAATAAACATTATACAGGGTGTTGAAAAAAACATGTGCGTTACGTAAAAATAAGATTTATTTTTCATACCAACATAGGTCCGGTTCTGCTTTGTTTCGTAACTACATGGTGTTAGTCTTAATATTTTTCTGATTTTTTATAATTTTCTTCCAAGTACTTTTAGCGTTTCGAATGAAATTTTGATGGCAAAAGTATCTATAAATGCGACATATTTTAAAGATAATAAGAATGGAACGTGCATATTGGTTGTCACTGAAATATTTTTCTAAAAAAAGCATGTACGCCACTGACTTTTTTTCTGTTGTTAGCAAAATAGTGTAAGCAATTTAATGCCGATTAAAAATTGTCTTTTGATATTTTGTTGATTAACATTAACTTGCGAAAGTTTTAAATAAGTACTCAATGATTCCTCATCAAAAAATATGAAAAAAAGATCCTATAAACATAGGTATGGAAGTACATAGTTTATTTAGAGTTACAGGATGTTAAAACTTTTTAAAATTAGTTTTTTTGTAATTATCTTAAATACCATTATTTTTTTATTTCAAATTGCTATATTATTGGACTAATAGGAATAATTTTTAATAATAAATTAGGTAAAAAAATTTATTTATTAATTTTATTTTTATTTTAATTTTATTAATTGTGATTAATAAAATCGTTTATCTCATCAAGGAGGCCGAACTGGACAACATATTATCAAGAGATAATGTTTTTTAATAAAAAAAAAACACTAAATCACCACAATATACCAAAACACTTTTACTTACATTGGACGCGTGTTTCAGCAGATGATATATATCTGATGATATAGCATCATCAGCAGATGATTAAAACTTTCAGAGCCTTATCATCTATCCTCTGAGACACCCTGTAGCTACGAAACAAAAGCAGAATCGGACCTATGTCACAAATTACCTATAACAGATGCGAAAGAAAGCGACTGCATCGGAAACCGTTCGGCAAACCCGACACGCCTATTGAGTGGTGTAAATACACCAGTCGTTTAGTACGGAAACCCATGCTGTGTCGTATTCGCTTGCTGGAGTGACATAGTGCGTGGTTATATGTTTCTTTTTAAAAACGCATGTAGGATTTTTGTTGAACTTTTGAACTGTTATTTCTAAGTTTTGGTAATTTGTATATCTTATTTAAAATGGGATACAAATGTGTTTTAAT